CCTGAAGATGGTAACTTCATACATGCTATAAAATAGAACATGTTTATGTTATATAACACTGAATAACAACATTTTATAGAAGTAATTTATGTCAGTTCATTGAATAATTCAGTGGGAAATTCCTTGTACTAAAACCTTAAAAACAGGCATAACAAAATGATGAGTGAGCTGGCCTGAACCACCTGTGGCTTGAGCCACAGCAATTCAGGCTTGGCTGGATGGATCAGATGTACAACGTGGTATTTAGCCATGCTATATAAAATCAGATTATGGTATTAAAGACATTTTCTAAAGTACTGAAAGAAATCATTTTTTTTCTCATAATGCAGGCAAAAATCCTGATGGTGAAAAAAGGATCAAAGACTTATCATTCTTGTATGATGCTACAACCTACCTAAATACTCTTCTGCATAGATATTCACAAATGGAACACAAATATAGGAACTCACTGGTAAGATTATCTGGCATGAATAACGCATCTCACTTTCCTATACTGAAATCAGTCTCCAGAAATGAAAATAAAGACCTGTACTCTAGTCCCGAAATTGTAAAGTTGAAGCCTTAATTATTCCAAACAATTACCTGATTTCAAAGTTTATAAAAATAAATTAATAATGCTTAATTGACATTTCTCATTATCACCTGTTCAGCCTGCTTCTGAGCATGAGGAGGTTGCTTGTATCAGACCAACCCTCTCACTGAAAATAGCAAAAATTACAAGGCTACTTGAAAGTATTAGCGAGCAATAACAGCAGCCAGAATTTATGCACGTTAATGCCGGCATGAAGCAAAACACATAAAGATGTAAGCCAGGCTTTCCCTGCTGATTTTTCTCCTTGGGTCCTTTGCTGACTTGCAGCACAGAACACTGAGGAAGAGAAGAAAAAAGCAACCTAGAGCTCCCAGCAGTCTCATGAGGTGATTTTATCAGTTTCTTCTCTCCTGGTTTTTGGTTATTTGGTCCTTGCTCTTGGAATACCTGGTAATTTTTTAAAATCTAATGCTATACGTCATGTTTAAAACATTTTAGAGGCTCTTGATGATGTGATCTTCATTCAGAAAAAATATGATTTTTATCTGGCTGCCAGTAAAAGTATGAGCAAATCGCTGGCCAGATATAAGTTTAATGTAAATAAGGAAAAAAATGTACACAGATGAACATGGTTTACCTCTGAGGATAGTGAGTTTCCTATAGTAAAAGGAAAATGTTTGGAAATTTTGGCAAACCACTTTGTGGAAGTGTTTTAGAAAAGATTCCTGTATCTGAGGTATAGTTGGATTTTATACCTTTAAGATTTCTTCCTGAAACTGAGATTTTGAGTTTATTTTTAAGACATAGAAATTAAAATGGTAAATTGAGACAGAGTCCAACCCAAACATCCAAATTTAACTACAGGATTCATACTTCTAAGCAACATGAAACACATTAGAGGTCCATGTGAATCTCTGGACCAATAATACAATAACAGTTATCAATAATATAGCTGTTTTGGAATGCTCCATGAAAAAGAAGTCAATGGGAAAGGAATCTGCATTTAATACAGTACATATTAAAAGTGCCCTTGACCCTGAACCATGATAAAGTGGATCAAGAAGACAGGCTGTTCTAAGTAAAGGCCAAGAAAACGAGTGAAAATGTTGAGAACACAGTACTTTGCAATAAAACTAATGGTTCAGATGCAGAAATGACATTGAAGCTAGAAGTCAAGACAAAATTAAAGTCATTGACCAAAGGCAGAACACAGAAACAACCAAGAAAATTACTGCCGAAAACTAGAGGTCAAATTAGGTGATGTTTAAGAGACAGGGGAGCCAGCAGAAATCAACCCTAGAGCCAAGGTACCAAAGTCTAGGGGACTTGTAAAAGAATCACAGTCTGCCTCAGTGAAGAAGCCCTTCTGCGTTAACTTCATGGCAAAATCAACAGGACCTTCCAGGATGCAGGCATGCTAGCAGCCGGAGGCAATGCAGTGGCTTATCCTGGTTGGCTCTTTGTCCTAAAGATGTCCTGTCCACGTTTCTCAAGCCAATGTATAGCTGTCCCCAGAGCTGTGTTGTTATGGTACAAGAAGAATGCAAAGCAAAAACCTGTGCATTTTTCAATGTTACAAGAAGGGAGAAAATTTGTTTATCTAAAATTTGTATTACATATATCACACATGTCCAATTTTACATAATTATATAAAAGAGATGTTTTCTTCCCCCCTTCTCCTTTCTCTTCATTTTTATGTCCTTCATCCTCTACTCTCCCTGCACCTCTTCCACCTCAGACAACCTGGTGAGTTACTTAGTCCCTCATGCTAATATTAGTTACAAAGCATATATGTATTCATACAGGGCCAGGCCTTGTGGCTCACACCTGTAATCCCAACAATTTGGGAGGCTGGGGCAGGAGGATTCCCTGAGCCCAGGAGTTGGAGACCAGTCTGGGCAACATAGTGAGGCTCTACTAAAATTTAAACAAAAAAATTAGCCAGGTGTGGTGGTACACCCCTGAAGTTCCAGCTACTTAGGAGGCTGAGATGGGAGGACTGCTTAAGCCCAGGAGGTTGAGGCTACAGTGAGCTATGATCATGTCACTGTACTCCAGCCTGGGCAAGAGAGTGAGATCCCATCTCTAAAAAAAGGAATGGGCCCCTAAATATACTTTCTTGCATTTTACTTTACTCACAGGAATCCCTTCAAGTCATCTGGCAGATGCTCAATTCATTCTCTGTAATCTGTATACAATATTCTATGACATGGAGGCTCCAAATTTATAATGTATTCAACCACTCCCCTACTGAATGCCATTCATTTCATTCCAATTTTTGCCATGATATGTGGTCATAAATATTATGCATATATCTTCATGTATTGATGCTTTTATTCTACAAGACAGATTCTTAGGAGTAAGATTGCTGGGTGAAAGCATACGTATATAACAGATACTGCCAAATTGCTTTCCAAAAAGGCCACAATTCACAAATATAAGAAAAAACACCATAATTCCATTAATATTAAACTGGATATATTTTGAAATAGAATACAAAAGTTACATAATTGTTTGGAAGACATGTAAGACTTTAACAAAACATGGGACTTTCTTAATATTCTCTAGGGCATGTGTTTTCTTTTCACTGCCAAGTTTGAGAGGCTCTAGATTGCATGATAGAAATAGTATGTAACTTCTAGGAGTAGCACATGACTCTCTTGTTTGGTGCAGTGTGAAACAGCAAAGCCTGACACAGTTCCATTCCAAGGATAAAGTCACTTCTCTCTCAGAGGTTAGAGAGATGGCATTCCTGCCTATAATTTTATCTTCCTTCGTTTTCCACAAAAGGAAAGCATGCCAACCCATGTAGCACCAGAGAACGCTCAGATTCTCCTCAGTATGAAGGTATGAAAGCTGTCTTAGAAGGAACTTCAAGAGATTGCCTTGATTTAATTCTTGGCTTCTTCCCTGGCAGAAAGGGAGGCCAAAGAGCTCAGGTCACTTGGTGTAGCTTCAGACAGCGAGTCCCTCAGGTCACTTGCCCTAGTGCTACAGACACATCCATAGGAGACATTGATAGCTGAAACCCCCAATCAGGAGCAAATCTCTCTCAATTGGTCATGACATAACACCATGGATTTTCCTTTTTAGGATGAAGCTGTCTCTATGCGGATTTCCTTTTTTATTTTTATTTTTTTGAGATGGAGTCTCACTCTGTTGTCCAGGTTGGAGTGCAGCTGCCCAATCTTGGCCTGCAGCCTCCACCTCCCAGGTTCAAGAGATTCTCCTGCCTCAGCCTCCCGAGTAGCTCAGATTACAGACCTACACTACCGTGCCCAGATAAATTTTTGCATTTTTAGTAGAGATGGGGTTTTGCCAGGTTGGGCAGGCTGGTCTCGGATTCCTGACCTCAGGTGATCCACCTGCCTCCGCCTCCCAAAGTGCTAGGATTACAGGTGTGAGCCATCACGTCCAGCCCCTATGCAGATTCAAATCCAGGACACATGTAAGAAGGAAAGAGAAGACTTGAGAATCCTGCTGTCATTCTGAAACCTGTAATCACTCTTCTTGAAAGGATTCTGAGATCAAACATCATCTTCACAATGGCTTAATTCTGGCTTTTAAGTAAAACTTTAAAAGTACTGAAGCTCTGGCTGGTTGGGAGGCTGAGGTGGGTGGATCAAGAGGTCAGGAGTTCAAGACCAGCCTAGCCAACATGATGAAACCCCATCTCTACCAAAAATACAAAAATTAGCCAGGCATGGTTGCAGGTGTCTATAATTCCAGCTACTCAAAAGGCTGAGACAGAGAATTGCTTGAACCTGGGAGGCAGAGGTTGCAGTGAGCAGAGGTCACGCGGTGCCACTGCACTCCAGCCTGGGCAACAGAGCGAGACTCTGACTCAAAAAAAAAGTAACAAAACTTATCTGTATGGTTATTGATTATTTCTATTTATTCAAAAATTTTTTTCTTTGGCTATTCCAAGGCATAGATTCATTTTCCTCAGTAAAAATTTCAATATTAAAGAGACTTCAAGTACAAAAAAGAGTAATTCAAGTTTTAAAGAATTTATTTCCACATTTTAGAATTTTGATGAACCCTAATGAATTTTATAGTCTTGAAAGCTTTGGAGAAAAAAAAATTAATATTTATCTAATATTTAAAATTTAAAAATATCAAAACAATAAATGTAGATCCTGTTTTGGGAGTGCAAATGAAGTTTCCTTGAAGTATCATGTGACAGTGGTCTCTGACAAAGGGAAAGTGCCTAGCTCTCTGAATTCTTCTTCTGAAAAGCTTTGATATTTTAATATTTTAAGTCAAATGCTGTCATCTTTTTCTCTTGATAGTATAAATGAGAATATGAAAAGCCACTTAAGTTTAGCAATTAAATTTCACTATACATGTCAAATATTATTTGGTGAAACCTACAATAAACTATTTCCAAATATCTTTATTCCGTTTTCATCTTTTAAACATGTATCTTTTAACCTAAAATGAATGTAAATCTGAATGAAGAATTTACATGTAAATGCTATCTTTTTAATCTGGGGGAGGCTGTTTCCCTGGCATTGTTTGAGGTTGGATGGAAAGCTGATGATGAGATACTGGCTAATATCAACTCAGCAGAACACTGGAAAGTACGGCCACTAACTAAAGTTTACTATGGCATTTTTGGAGACATAACCCTAATTCTAAAGGACATATCAATTCAAGGTTGATTACCATTGTTTTTCTATAAGCTTGAAGTAATGAACATAGACAGTTTACTAAACAGAAGGTAAAATTTCTTATTTACTTAGACTGCTGACAAATTGTTGGAAAAAGTTACAAAGTATGGTATATCCCAGAACAATACCACATTATCATTCTTGTTCCAAAACACACACTTGGTATTCTATTAACAGAAAATATTATTTCGGTCAGCACATGAACACAGTGATAATTTATGACCAGCAAAACAGTCAGATTTTCTGACACCACCTTACCTAAACTGGTAAAAAACATTTTGATGCTAATTTGTTAAGACAAGGAAAAAAAAAAAAAAAGAATTCATTTCAGCTATTTAAATTCTGTCACTGATGTCCATACCTTATGGCTCAGATAAACTATTCAGATGTCTCTTTCTAATCATCTTTCTTGAATTAATCTTTCAGCTGGTGTATCATGATATGATTTACTGAAAGAATGTCACCCTTAATTCTATGATCTGGTAAAGAGAGACGAGAGCAGGGGGCTGAAAGGAACACAATTGCCCTGTTTTATAAGAAAATGTTAGGATAACACTGCATAACTTTGAAAATTAATTTTTTTTATCAAATTTGAGGATGAGTTGAGATGGCAGAATATGATCACACTGTAACATATATCCGCTGCTCTGACATATGCCAGTGAAAGATTAAAAATATAAATAGAAGAAACCATGGTCCTCTGGCAAATGAAGAAAGAGTTGCAAATCAGAATTGGAATAGAACACAATGACAGGGGAGGGCTTCAGCCTTGAGCCCACCAGGCTCTCAGGCTGCAGGCAGGCTCCTACAGGAGGCAGGAACTGGGTGTGCTCTGCTGTCCAGGGCAGGCAAAGAAGGAACCAGTCTTGTGAAGGAAGCTGAGCAAAGCCTGCTGCTCACTGCTGCCTGGGCCCCAGCTGCTGAGAGGCTGTGGCTCTCGGAAAGGTAGAGGAGATAGACACAGTCTGGTGACAAGGAATCACCACAGCCCCTCAACTCCCACTAAACCCTGGTGCAATGATTGGATCAGTGATAATATCATCACGGGACAGGAGCTCAAGTTGCCTGTGAAGACCTTATTCTGGATCAGAGGCTCCAGAACTTGGTGGACTGGTGGCCCCAGAACTTGGTGGACATAACCACTAACCAGGGAGGGCAAACATTATGGGAGAAAGAGAAACAGCAGCAGCAACAAAATGAGCCTGTGAACAAAAGCTAGAAAACGAATTAATGCACACAATGCTAAGAAAGACGGCGAAAAGCACTACACGAATTTATTATGAAAGAATTAATTTTATTAACCAGACTGACAAATATTTTAAAATAAGAATATTTAGGATACGCAGAAAAATTAATTAAGGCACACTCATTTAAAAATACCCTGAAATTATGAAGCAAAACAGCTATAAAACAACACATAGATATAGGACAGATATAATTAGAAATTTTGGAAAGAAAATATTTGGCCATTTAAATAAATAAAAACAGTCCAGATAGGATTAACTCTAGACTGGATGTGCAATGAAGAACAGTTAAAAAAATGTTTAAAAAAAAGAACAGCTAAGCAACATGGAAAATAAATGAAGAGTAATGGAAATCTTTGAAGGGATAATAGCTGGGATAATGTAAAGCACCCAAAACTACATCTTACAGGAGACATGAAGGGCCTTTTTGAAGTAAACTACAATATATTGCCAAGATACTACAATAACACTTGATTATATGCAAATGTCACAGGATCCTTGGGGTGTCACTTTTTTGGCCTAAAACCTTTGCAGCAAGTGGCACCTTTGCCTGAATTTTGCTTGGGCCCACTGGGCTTGTTCCACTCACTCAACCTGGCAGGCTGCACTCAGCCTGTGCTACCAGCCTAGATCCCATGCCTGCCAAGGGCAAGCCAGGTGCGGAACAGCAAGGAACGTGTGAATGAGGGAGTGTGGGGTCCATCCACGGTGCACAGCCAAGCACGGAGGCTACAGCAGGGCAGGCAGCTCCAGGCACCAGCACAGGCACTGGTTCTCTACAAGGCTGTGGCTGGACCAGATATACCACAAGCAGCTTCCAAGGCTGGCTTGGGGAATGTGGTGGCTCCAGGAAGCTTGGAGACACCAGGAACTCAGACCTCCAAAGAGGGTGTCACACACCTGGCTCAGGGTTCTCTTAGGTCTGAATTCCCGGGAGGGCCACAGCTCCTCTTCCCTTTCTTCTCCCTCTCATCACCTGCAACATGGCGAGCAAGGGGCATGTTTCAGCCCTGTTTGTATTACAGTTCTTTCAGCCCCATCATTCAGTGGGTCCCAAGTTTTTGTCCCATGTCCAGGAATAATGAGGTACATGGATAAGTGGAGAGTAAGCAAGCCAAGAGGTGCTTTACTGAGTGATAGAACATCTCGGCGGAGGCTCGTGGAGGGTTGCTACTCTCTGAAAGCCAGTTGTCCCAACGTCTGTCTGTTCAGCTCTCAGCAGAAGGGAGATATACAGTGAGTAGCTCCTCTCTGTGGGCACGTTGTCCTGAAGTCTATTGAGCTCTCAGCAGAGGGGAGACCCACAGTGGGTAGCTTCTCCCCACAGGCGGGCATTCATCATCTGTTCAGTTCTTAGCAAAGAGGAGACCCACAGTGGGTAGTTCCACTCTGCAGGCAGGTTGTCCTGTCATTTGCCCCAGTCTAGTTGAGTCCAGGGCTTTTATGGACTTCAGAAGGGAGAAACTGCATGCTGATTGGTCCATGGGTAGCCATGGGCAGGCCCAAAAGAAGCACCATAAGTTTTTACTCCAGTCCACAGACCTAGCAGCCTGGGCCCCCAGGCCTCAGGCTGTCTTTGACCTGAAGGTGGGGTTTCACTGGGGACCCACCCTGTTCTGCCCAGGAGCCTGTCTGCCTCCTGCCATCATTAACCTGCTGTCCATGGTGCCCACAGTGTCCAGGCTGTTTTTGTTGAGGGGTGTCTGTAGGCCCATGCTGCGTCATCCTTGGCCACCACTCGGCCTCCATCCCATGCTTGTTGGCGCCCAAAGTCCAGAGGGGGCCAAGACAGCATGAGGCTCTCATGTTGGTGCTGTCCTGAGTGTGCACACACCTGGCTGGGTTGGAACAGCACTAGGACTTCGCCATAACTTTGCTCTGAAATTGGAGCAGGCACCAGGAGAGGTGAGAGGCCAGGCAGTGACAGCCTGCAGGGGAGGGGGGCTGCAGGGAGGGTAGCTTCCTGGGGCCTGAGAGTCCAGAGAAGTCTGGGTCCACAGCTGAGACTGGGAAGCTGCAACTGCACCCAGGAGGGTGGGGCTCCCCCCTCCAACTTGGAAGGGGATGGGTTCTCCCCCGTTCCTGGCTCCTGCTAGCTCTGTGGAGCAAGCAGCCCCAGCTGCACCTCCCCCACTGCAGTTGGCGTCATGTCAGTGTCTGCTCCAGATGGGCCACCACTGCCATCACAAAGATTGACATGAAAAAGAAAATAGTATAAATATCAGTTCTCCCAAAATTATTCTATTAACTCAAAGAATAATTTTAATGTAAGTCCTACCAACTGAACAAATTAATCCTAAAATTCATATACAAGAACAAAAGTCCAAGAACACACAACATAAAGAAAAAAGAATGGAAGAAATCTCCGTGCCAGATCTCAAAATTTATGCTAAAACTATTAAAATTAAAATGGTGCAGTACTGGTACAGGGATAAACAGACTACAATAGAGTAGAGAGCTCAGAAATAAGCCTGCATACAAGTAAAAACAATGATGCAACAGTTAACCATGGACATGTGCAAAAGCAAATAGTTCCTAGTCCACCAGTTATTTCTGTAAGAAATAAAATAAAATGAAGCTGAGCATGATGCCATCTGCCAGTAGTCCCAACTACTCAGGAGGCTGAGGCAGGAGGACAATTTGAGCCAGGAGTTCAAGGCTATATAGTATGCTACGATGGGGCCTATGAATAGACACTGCACTCCAGTCTGGGCAACATAGTGAGACTCTATCTATAAAAATAAAATAAAATGAGACATCTATCTCATGCTATCCATAAAAATCAGTTGATCAGTTGCAGGAGAAATAAGAACTAGAGTATATGAAAAGTGAAACTTGAAACCTTACAGAAAATATATTGGGAAAAAAACATGGGAAAGGAAGAATTTCCAAAGAAACAAAAAGGGTACAAACCATAATGAAAATGAATGGTAAATTTGATTAAATATTTAGGAATTTCTAAAGAAACAAAAAGAGCACAAATCATAATGAAAATAATAAACTTGATTAAAAATAAAATTAAAAACTTTTATCTAAAAAAGACACAAGTAAATTTAAAATATATTTGTTATTCATAACAAATAATTAGTAACTAGAATATATAAAGAAGCCTAAAATAAGAAAAAGACAAAACCCAAATAGAAATGTGGGAATTGTATAAACCAGCAATTTGTAAAAGAAATCCCAATCACCAAAAATATATATTGAAAAGGTACTCAGACTAATAATCAGAAAATGAAAATTAAAATTAAAACAATAAGATACCATCTACACTGCTCAGTTGGCATGAAAAAGTCTGGGAATAACAAGTATCACCAAGGATGGAGAATAAACTACTTATACAGTGCTAGAGAATGTGAATAGAAAAATCACTCTGAATGACAATTGGTCATTGCCTTAAAACATAAGGCAAGAAACATATACAAACCCTATGACCCAGTAATTCTATTCAGAGACTTCCTCAATCTGTGGTTCTCCTCTGAACCATAAAACTCAGAACATGGTTTGAAGGGTTCTTTTCTCAAATCTCCCAAGAATGGTTCATAGCTGTTCTAGATGCATAGGCAGGTGAGAAGCTAATTCCTAAAGAGAGTGGGTGACATGGGGCATTAGAGCTTAATTTTCTAGAGAACCCTGGAGGAAGAAGGCTGTGAGAGAACCATGTAGAGGAATATTCACACCTCTATTGATAGAAATAGTCTAAAGTAGAATAACTATGGAATCATCAATAGGATAATGGATATATACTTTGTAATATATACTTCACCAGAACACTACACAGGCTTTTCCTCATTTTATCATGCTTTGCTTTCTTGTGTTTTGTAGATAACACATTGTTTATAAGTTGAAGGTTTGTGGAAACCCTATGGTGCAATCTACTTCTCAGTGCCATTTTTCCAACAACACGTGTTCATTCTGTGTTTCTGTGTCACATCTGGATAATTTTCACAATCATTCAAACCTTTTCATTATTATTATATCTGTTATGGTGATATGTGATCAGTGACATTTGAGATTACTATAGCAATTATTTTGAGGCAACACAAACCATACCCATATAAGATGGCAAATTTAATTGATAAACATTGTATGTGTTCTGACAGCTCCATTGACAGGCTCTTCCCTGTCTCTCTCCCTCTCCTTGGGCTTCCCTATTCCCTGAGGCACAACAATATTGAAATTAAGCCAATTAACAGTCTATGATGGGCTCTAAGTGTTCAATCAAAAGGAAGAGTCACATATCTCTTACTGGAACTCGAAAGCTAGAAATGATTCAGCTTAATGAGGAAGGCATGTCAAAAGCCAAGATAAGCTGAAAGGTAGACATTTTGCACCAAATAGCCAAGCTATGAGTGCAAAGGAAAAGTTCTTGAAGGCAATTAAAAGTGCCACTCCAGTGAACACATGAATGCTAAGAAAGTAAAACAGCTTTATTGCTGATATGACAAATGTGAGTGATCTGCCTGAAAGATCAAACCAACCACAACATCCCCTTAAGCCAAAGCATAATTCAGAGCATGACCCCAGCTCTCTTCAATTTTATGAAGCCTGAGGGAGGTAAAGAAGTTTCAGAAGGAAAGTTGCAAGTTGGCAGAGATGGGTTCATGATGTTTAAGAAAAGACACCATTTCCACAACATTAAAGTAAAACGTGAAGCAGCAAGTACTGACGGAAAAGCTACAGCAAGTTATCCAGATGATTAGCTAAGATAATTGATTAAGGTGGTTACACTAAACAGCAGATTTTAAATGTAGATGAAATACAGTCTTCCATTAGAAGAAGATGCCATCTAGGACTTTCCTAACTAGAGAGGAGAAGTCAATGCCTGGCTTCAAAGCTTCAAAGGACAGGCTAACTCTCTTCTTAAAAACAAATGCCTTTGGTGACTTTAAGTTAAAGCCAATGTTCATTTACCTTTTTGAAAATCCTAGGGTCCTAACCAATTATGCTAAATCGTCTATGCTTGTGCTCTAGAAAGGGAAAAACAAAGCCTCGATGATAGTACATCTGTTTACAGCATGATTCACTCTATATTTTAAGTCCCCTGTTGAGACCTACTGCTCAGAAGAAAAGATTGCTCTCAAAATATTACTGCTTATTGACAGTGCACTTGTTCACTCACTCAAGAACTCTGATGGTGATGAACAAGGAAACTTATGTTGTTTTCATGTATTCTAACACAATATCCATTCTGTAGCCCCTGAATCAAGCAAGTAATTGTGACTTTCAAGCCTTATTTAAGAAATACACTTTGTAGAGCTATAGCCACCATAGATAATGATTCCTTTAATGAATCTAGGCAAAGTAAATTGAAAACCTATTGGAAAAGATTTACCATTCTAGATGCCATTAAGAACATTCATACTTCATGGGAAGAAGTCAAAATATCCACATTAACAGGAGTTTGAAAGAAACTCATTCCAACCCTCATAGAGGACTTTGAGGGGTTCATGACTTCAGTGGAAGAAGTTACCACATGTGGTACAAATAGGAAAAGAACAAGAATTAGAAGATGCACCTGAAAGTGTGACTGAATCTCTGCAGTCTTACAATAAAACTTAAATGGATGAGAAGTTGCTTCCTTTGGATGAACAAAGAAAGCGGTTTCATGAGATGGAATCTGCTCCTGGTGAATACACTGTAAACACAGAGGGGTTTTTTAGGTTTTTTTTCTTTTTTCTTTTTGAGACAAGGTCTCACTCTGTTGCCCAGGCTGGAGTATGATGGCACAATCATAACACTGCAGATTTGACCTCCTGGACTCAAGCAATACTCCTGCCTTGGCCTGAGTAGCTGAGACTACAGGCATGCATTGCCAAGTCCAGCTAATTTTTAAAATTTCTTTGTAGAGACCAGGTCTTTCCATGTTGCCCAGGCTGGTCTCCAACTCCTAATCTCAAGTACTCTTACTGACTTAGCTTCCCAAAGTGCTGGGATTACAGGGATGAGCCACAGAACCTGGCTTGTGCACATTGTTGAAATGACAGCAAAGAATTTGAAATCTTAAAGTTGGTTGATACAGCAGCAGCAGTGGCTTAAGAAGACTGACTCCATTAAAAAAAAAAAAGTTCTGTTGATAAAATGCTATTAAACAGCATCATATGTTATAGAGAAATCTTTTGTGAAAAGAAGAGTCAGTCAATGTGGGAAACTTCATTGTTGTCTTAAATTTAGAAAATGCCACAGCCACTCCAGCCTTAAGCAACCACCATCAAAGCAAGAACCACCACTACAAAAAAATTATGACTTGCTGAAGGCTCGGGTGATCATTAGCATTTTTAGCAATAAAGTATTTTTAAATTAAGATATGTACATTTTTTAGACATAATGCTATAGCATAATCAGTAGGCTACAGTATAGTATAACCATAACTTTTATATGCACTGGGAAACAAAAATGTCCCATGACTCACATTATAGGAGTGGTTTGAAACAGAATCTGCAGTATCTCCAAGGTATGCCTATATAATAGTTACTAGAAAAAACTCAAGCTAAATAATGTATCAATATGGATATATTTCAAAAATAATGGATCATGAAGAAAGCAAGTTGCACATTACACATAATACCATTGCTCTAAAAATTTAAAATACATAAAAAACAATACTATATTTTAAGTATAAGTATAAATATGTACAGTAAAATTATAAAACACAGGCACAAAACTGATAAGCAGCAAATTCAGAATGAAAGAGGACATTGGTGCCGAGTAGAGGTCCACAGGAAAATTCAACTAAAGGGTAATTAATGTTTATTTCCTTAAGAATCAAATTATGGAAGATATTATGTTAAACCTTCATGGTTGAAACACAGATGTTTATATTATTTCTGTTTAAAATAGCTCATACTGATGCCACCTCACACCCATTAAAATGGGCACTATCAAAAATGCAAAAAATAAGTATTAGAAGGGGTGTGGGGAAATTGAAACTCTTGTGCACTGTTGATGGGAATTTGTAAAATTGGTGAGCTATAAAACTGTACAGCCATGAAGTGTCTCCAAGATGGCTAAATAGGAACATTTCTGGTCTGCTGCTCCCAGTGAGACCAACACAGAAGGCAGGTGATTTCTGCATTTCCAACTGAGGTACCCAGTTCGTCACACTGGGACTGGTTAGATAATGAGTGCAGCCCACAGAGGGCAGGCAGAAGCAGGGTGGGGTGTGATCTCATCTGAGAAGTGCAAGGGGCTGGGGAGCTCCCTCCCATAGCCAAGGAAAGTCATGAGGGACTGTGCTATCCAGCTCAGGTACTACACTTTTCCCACAGTTTTTAAAACCTACAGACCAGGAGATTCCCTCGGGTGCATACACCACCAGGGCCCTGGGTTTCAAGCACAAAACTGGGCGGCCATTTGGGCTAACACCAAGCTAGGGGCGGGAGTTTTTTTCATACCCCAGTGGTGCCTGGAATGCCAGTGAGACAGAACCATTTACGCCCCTGAAAAGGAGGCTGAAGCCATGGAGCCAAGTGATCTTGCTCAGCAGGTCCCACCTCCACAGAGCCCAGAAAGCTAAGATCCACTGGCTTGAAATTCTCGCTGCCAGCACAGCAGTCTAAGTTCGACCTGTGGCACTCGGGATTGGTGGGGGAGGGGGTATCCACCATTAACAAGGCTTGAGTAGGTGGTTTTCTCCTCATGGTGTAAACAAAGCCACTGAGAAGTTCAAACTGGGCAGAACCCACCTCAGCATGGCAAAGTAACCATGACTGCCTCTCTAGATTCCTCCTCACTGGGCATGGCATCTCTGAAAGAAAGGCAGCAGTCCCAGTGACATGCTCATAGATAAAACTCCCATCTCCCTAGGGCAGGGCACCCAGGGGAAGGGAGTATCTTTGGGTGCAGCTTCAGCAGACTTAAACGTTCCTGCCTGCCAGCTCTGAAGAGAGTATCAGATCTCCCAGCACAGCGCTCAAGCTCTGCTAAGGGACAGACTGCCTCCTCCAGTGGGTCCTTGACTCACGTGCCTCCTGACTGGGAGACATCTCCCAACAGGGGTCAACAGACACTCATCTAGGAGAGCTCTGGCATCTGAAGGGTGTCCCTCTGGGACAAAGCTTCCGGAGGATGGAAAAAGCAGCAATCTTTACTGTTCTGCAGCCTCTGCTGGTGATACCCAGGCAAACAGTGTCTGGAGTGGACTCCAGTGAACCCCAGCAGACCTGCAGAAGATGGGCCTGACTGTTAGAAGGAAAACTAACAAACAGAAAGCAATAACATTAGCATCAACAAAAAGGACACCTATACAAAAACTCCATCTAAAAGCCATCACCATCAAAGATCAAAGGTAGATAAATCCACAAAGATGAGGAAAACCCAGTGCAAAAATGCTAAAAATTTCAAAAACCAGAATGCCTCTTCTCCTCCAAAGGATCACAATTCCTCACCACCAAGGATACAAAACTGGACGGAGAATGAGAATGATGAACTGACAGAAGTAGGCTTCAGAAGGTGGGTAATAACAATCTCCTCCAAGCTAAAAGAGCATGTTCTAACCCAATGCAAGGAAGCTAAGAACCTTGATAAAAGCTTACAGGAACTGTTAACTAGAATAACCAGTTTAGAGAAGAAAATAAATGACCTGATGGAGCTGAAAAACACACACCAGAACTTCATGAAGTATACACATGTATTAATAGCCAAATCGATCAAGTGGAAGAAAGGCTATCAGACACTGAAGATCAACTTAATGAAATAAAGTGTGAAGACAAGATTAGAGGAAAAAGAATGAAAAGGAATGAACAAAGCCCTCCAAGAAATATGGGGCTATGTGAAAAGACCAAACCTACAATTGATGTCCCTGAAAGTGATGGGGAGAATGGAACTAAGCTGGAAAATACACTTCAGGATACTATCCAGGAGGACTTCCCCAAACCAGCAAGATAGGCCAAAGTCAAATTCAGGAAATACAGAGAACACCACTAAGATACTCCTCAAGAAGAGCAACTTCAAGACACATAATCATCAGATTCACTAAGGTTGAAATTAAGGAAATGAAATGAAGGAAAAAATGTTCCTCTGGGCAGCCAGAGAGAAAAGTCAGATTACCCACAAAGGGAAGCCCAACAGACTAAGCCCAGCAGATCTCTCTGCAGAAATTCTACAAGCCAGAAGAGAGTGGGGGCCAATATTCAACATTCTTGAAAAAAAAATAATTTTCAACCCAGAATTTCATATCCAACCAAACTAAGCTTCATAAGCAAAGGAGAAATAAAATCCTTTACAAAGAAGCAAAGGCCGAGGGATGTTGTCACCACCAGGCTTGCCTTATAAGAGCTTCTGAACAAAGCACTAAATATGGAAAGGAACAACCAGTACCAGCCACTCCAAAAACATACCAAAATATAAAGACCAATGACACTATGAAGAAACTGCATCATTTAATGTGCAAAATAACCAGCTACCATCATGATGACAGGATCCAATTCATACATAATAACCTTAAATGTAAACAGGCTAAATGTCCCAATTAAAAGACACAGACTGGCAAATTGCATAAGGTGTCAGGACCCATCAGTGTGCTATATTCAGGAGACCCATCTCACATGCAAAGGCAAACATAGGCTCAAAATAAAGGGATGGAGGAATATTTACCAAGCAAATTAAAAAGCAAGAGGAAGCAGGAGTTACAATCCTAGTCTCTGATAAAACAGACTTTAAACCAACTAAGATAAAAAAAAGACAAAGAAGGGCATTATATAACAGCAAAGGGATCAATGCAACAGAAATAACTAACTATCCTAAATATATATGCACTAAATACAGGAGCGCCCAGATTCATAAAGCAAGTTCTTAGACTCCACACAGTAATAGTGGGAGACTTTAACACTCCCCTGTTAATTCTAGACAGATCAATGAGACAGAAGATTAACAAGGCTATTAAGGACCAAAATCAGATCTGGACCAAGCAGACCTAACAGACATCTACAGAACTCTCCACCTCAAATCAGCAGAATATACATTCTTCTCGGCACCACATCACACTTATTCTAAAATCGACTACATAGTTGGAAGTAAAACAGTTCTCAGCAAATGCAAAAGGGCAGAAATCATAACAGTTTCTCAATCACAGTGCAATCAAATTAGAACTTGGGACTGACCCAGCAATCCCACTACTGGGATTATATACACAAAGAACTATAAATTGTTCCACTATAAAGATACATGCACATGTATTGCAGCCCTGTGTACAATAGCAAAGACCTGGAACCAACCCAAATGCTCATCAATGATAGACTGGACAAAGAAAACGTGGTATATATACACCATAGAATACTATGCAGCCATAAAAAATGATGAGTTCGTGTCCTTTGTAGGGACTTGGAAGAATCTGGAAACCATCATCCTCAGCAAACTAACACAAGAACAGAAAGCCAAACACCGTATGTTCTTGCTCATAGGTGGGCGTTGAACAATGATAACACGTGGACTCAGGGAGAGGAGCAACACACACTGGGGGCAGTTGGGGGGGTAGTAGGGGAGAGACAGCAGGGGGTAGGGAGGGTGGGGAGGGATAACATGGGGAGAAATGCCAGATATAGTATGCACCTAAAGTAAAATAAATAAATTTTTTTAAAAAAGAAACTCACTCAAAACGGTACAACTACATGGAAACTGAACAACCTGTTCCTGAATGACTACTGGGTAAATAACAAAATCAAGGCAGAAATAAATAAGTTCTTTGAAACCAATGAGAACAAAGATGCAATGTACTAGAATCTCTGGGACACAGCTAAAGAGTGTTTAGAAGGAAATTTATAGCACTGAGTGCCCACATCATAAAGCAGGCAAGATCTAAAATCAACACCCTAACATCACAATTCAAAGAACTAGAGAAGCAAGAGCAAACAAATTCAAAAGCTAACAGAAGACAAGAAATAACTAAGATCAGGGCAGAAATGAAGGAAATAGAGACAAGAAAAACCCTTTAAAAAAAGCAATGAGGCCAGGCACAGTGCCTCATGCTTGTAATCCCAGCATTTTGGGAGGCCAAAGTGGGCAGATCATAAGGTGAGGAGTTAGAGACCAGTCCGGCCAACACAGTGAAAACCTGTATCTACTAAAAGTACAAAAATTATTTGGGCATGGTGGCTGGTGCCTGTAGTCCCAGCTACTTGGGAGGCTGAGGCAGGAGAATCACTTGAACCTTGGAGGCAGAGGTTGCAGTTAGCTGAGATAATGCCACTGCACTGGGTAACAGAGGTAGACTCCATCTCAATCAGTCAATCAATCAATCAATCCAGAGCTGGTTTTTTGAAAAGATTAACAAAATAGATAGACCACTAGCTAGACTAATAAAAAAGAAAAGAGTAAGAATTAAATAGACACAATAAAAATGATAAAGGGACTATCACCACTGACCCAATGGAAATACAAACTACCATCAGAGAATACTAAACACCTCTATGCAAATATACTAGAAAATCTAGAAGAAATGGATAAATTCCTGGACACATACAACCTCCCAAGACTAAACCAGGAAGAAGTCAATTCCCTGAATAGAGCAGTAGCAAGTTCTGAAATTGAGGCAGTACTTAATAGCCTACCAACCAATAAAGCCCAAGACCAGACAGATTCACAGGCAAATTCTACCAGAGCTACAAAGAGGAGCTGGTACCATTCCTTCTCAAACTATTCCAAACAATAGAAAAAGAGGGACTCCTCCTCAACTCATTTTATGAGGCAAGCATCATCCTGATACCAAAACCTGGCAGAGACACAACAAAAAAAGAAAATTTCAGGCCAATATCCCTGATGAACATCGATGAGAAAAAATCCTTAATAAAATACTGCCAAACTGAATCCAACAGCACATCAAAAAGCTTATCCACCATGACCAAGTCAGCTTCATCCCTGGGATACAAGGCGGCTCAACATATGCAAATCAATAAACGTAATCCATCATATAAACAGAACCAATGACAAAAACCACATAATTATCTCAATAGATACAGAAAAGGCCTTCGATAAAATTCAACATCACTTCATGCTAAAATTTCTCAATAAACTAGATATTGATGGACTGTATCTCAAAATAATAAGAGCTATTTATGACAAACCCACAGCCAATATCATACTAAATGGGCAAAAGCTGGAAGCATTCCCTTCAAAAACTGGCACAAGACAAGGATGCCTTCTCTTACCACTCCCATTCAACATAGTATTGGAAGTTCTGGCCAGTGCAATCAGGCAAGGGAAAGAAATTAGTCGTATTCAAATAGGAATAGGGGAGTCAAATTGTCTCTGTTTGCAGATGACATGATTGTATCTGCAATCAGAAAACCCCATCATCTCAGCCCAAAATCTCCTTAAGCTGATAAGCAACTTCAGCAAAGTCTCAGGATACAAAATCAACATTCAAAAATCACAAACATTCCATTCAGGACATAGGCGTGGGCAAAGACTTCATGACTAAAACACCAAAAGCATTTGCAACAAAAGCCAAAATTGACAAATTGATCTAATTAAACTAAAGAGCTTTTGTACAGCTAAAGAAACTAGCATCAGAGCGAAGAGGCAACCTACAGAATGGGAGAAAATTTTTGCAATCTCTCCATCTGACAAAAGTCTAATATCCAGAATCTACAAGAAACTTAAACAAATTTACAAGAAGAAAACAAACAACGCCATCAAAAAGTGTCCGAAACTTCTCAAAAGAAGACATTTATGCAGCCAACAAGCATACGAAAAAAATCTCATCATCACTGGTCACTAGAGAAATGCAAATCAAACCACAATGAGATACAATCTCACGCCAGCTAGAATGGCAATCACTAAAGTCAGGAAACAACAGATGCTGGAGAGGATGTGGAGAAATAGGAATGCTTTCACACTGTTGGTGGGAGTGTAAATTAGTTCAACCATTGTGGAAGACAGTGTGGTGATTCCTCAAGCATCTAGAACCAGAAATGCCATTTGACCGAGCAAGTCCCTTACTGGGTATATACCCAAAAGATTATAAATCATTCTACTATAAAGACATATGCACATGGATGTTTATTCAGCAATGTTTACAACAGCAAAGATTTGGAACCAACCCAAATACCATCAATGATAGACTGGATAAAGAAAATATGGTACATATATGCTATGGAATACTATGCAGCCATAAAAAGGGTGAGTTCATGTCCTTTGCAGGGACATGGATAAAGCTGGAAACCATCATTCTCAGCAAACTAACAGGAACAGAAAACCAAAACCACATATTCTCACTCATAAGTGGGAGTTGAATAACAAGAACACATGACACAGGGAGGGGAACACCACACACTGGGGCCTGTTTGGGGATGGGGGGCCAGAGGAGGGACAGCGTTAGGACAAATACCTAATGCATGCGGGGCTCAAAACCTAGATGATAGGTTGATGGGCCATGGCACATGTATACCCATGTAACAAACTTGCACGTTCTATACTAAAAAAAAACTTTTAGTATACTTAAAGTATACTAAAAAATTGTACAGCCACTGTAGAAAACTGCATGTTGATTGCTCAAAAAATTAAAAACAGAACTATCATATAATCCAGTAATCCTACTTCCGGGTATACACCCCAAAGAACTATTAATACAAGCATGCACTGGAGCAGACATTTGTAGATTCATGTTCATTGCAGCCTTAAGCGAAATAGCCAAGAGGTGGAAGCAACTCAAGTGTCCACCAATGAATGCATAAGCAAAATGTGGTATATACATACGTTTGAATATTATTTAATCTTAAAATGGACAGAAATTCTGGCATATGCTGTAGTATGGATAAACCTTAGAGATATCATGCTAAATGAAATAAGCCAGACATACAAGAAACAAATTCTTGTATGCAAGAATTTGCATATTTTTGCTGATAAAAATAGACTTCAAAGCAACAAAGATCAAACGAAGCAAAGAAGGATATTACATAAAGATAAAAGGATCAATGTAACAAGAAGAGCTAAAGATCCTAAATATATACGCACCCAATACAGAAATACCCAGATATATAAGACTTATAGAGAGACTTGGACTCCCACACAATAATAGTGGGAGACTTCAACATCAATATTAGACAGATCAATGAGACAGAAAGTTAACATCGATATTCAGGACTTGAACTCAGATCCGGAACAAGTAGGCTTAATTAACATTCATAGAACTCTCCAGTTTAAATACACAAAATATACATTCTTATCAGTACTACATCACACGTCTTTACAGGTTTAAATGAAATATTGGTTGGCTGCTTGTTAATTATTTTCTCCCCTCATTTTTTTTTATGTCTCTATTATTAAACACAATTACAGGCATACCCATTTCTAGACTGCATTCTAGCCCGGGCAATAAAGCAACACC